GCTCCAAAGGGATAATCTCAGCTTTTCTTCATTCCATATATTTCCTGTGGTGTTATACGAAGATCTTGGTAGTAATCCCGGTCCCTGGGGGCTCTGGATGGATGATCAGCCCCTTCCTCGGTGACCTCGGTGAGGTGTCCTCACTCTGACCGCTGCCGTGGAGGAGCTCCCCCGCTGCCCACAGCAGCCTCGAGGTGCAGCGCTCTGAGAGCTCCGTGAAGTGCCACCTCTGCCTCTCAGTGTCGTCTTTTTGGTGTTTGTGTATTCAGAAAGCATCGGCAGGAGAGTCAGCGCCCGGCGCTGTGGGCCTGGCACGCGCCCGGAGGAGACACCTTGTGAGCCCGGAGCCGGGCTGGGGGTAACGCTGTGGCAGCACGTTCTTCTCACCAGTGACTACACGAAGTGACAAGTAAGTACATTTATTGCTGACAGAAAATATAAAATACCTTACAGGCTTGTTCTAACGTGGGCACCCTCCCTCAGATGCTTCTAACTGACTGTCACCATCTCCTGCGGTGCCAAATAAATGATGCCAAGTAGAAGAGGCCCACATGTGAGCGTGTCGCCAACTGCAGCTTCTGCTACTGATCTGGCTGGAAAGACAGGGATCCAAATTGGAAAAAAAAAAGGCAAACAAAACAAACAAACAAAAAAGCCTAAATAATGTTTAGGGAGTTGCAGAGCTGGCAAGGATCTGATTGAGGAGAAAAGAGAGAAATGAAACCAAATATGAACTTCCAGTGTGAACAAAGAGGACAAACAGTATTTAGAGGGCAGCTCTGCATAGGCTGATTCCTCAGCTGTGCTTCTGCTTCCCCTGTGGCCTGGTGCAGTCAGGCCTACCGAGTTTGAAAGCTGCATTGCCAAGCTGGTTAAGTGCATCCCATGGGGACCATCTCTTCACCTTGAAGATCAGTTCAGATGCCGTGAGTCCAGTGATCTCGTTGGAGGTCCTGTCTGAAATGGAGCTTTTGGCTCTCCTGCAGGCTGTTGGGTGTCCTGCCTGCTGCTGCTGTCCTGCCCTATGATGCCAACCTAGAAACTTCATGTAACGGTCCCGCTTAACCAGGACAGGCTGTGGGCAGGGTCCTTCCTTTCCCCCTGCTAGTCGGGCCAAACAAGCTCTGCATTATTGAGGAGCTGACCTGTTCTTGCAGCTTAAAAGCGACCCCAAGTCTTAATCCCGTGCGGGTGACATCAGAGGTCCCGCCGCAGCGGTCGCGGTGATGTCGCCATGAGGAGCTTGTGGCTGCAAATGGGCAATAAGCCACGGGGAAGGGTGACCTCAAAAGGAACTAACAGCCAGGCATTACATAAATGTCTCTAATACTTGTGCACTAGTAATGAAAAAATAAGAAAGGAAAAAGGAC